GACTCCGACGGCGGACGATGGCAGCACGTGGGGCACGTTCCTAGTCAAGATATGACTGGCCCAGTCCTCGGTTGATAGTGAAACCAAGCTTAGTGGGCATTGGTGGTAAACAGTCTGATGAGCGGCAACTAGGTGCACAAGAAAGAGAGGAGGAGAGGAGGACAAGTAGGTAGAGATAGCTAAAGACTTAATCTCACTTCGGCATTTGCCCTCTCCAACGAAAGCTCAACATCTACAAACGCCCACATGATTTTAATTGCCTTACTGTCTTCAAGATCTCCGTTCTTGAAATCATAGCAAATACACCTTTGTTTTTAAGTGCACTCATATCTATATCCATCGCGTCTTTCCATTTGCGACGCGAACGTAGACCACATAGCTTGATGGTACGTCCTCGGTATCTTGACATCCTTAACGAAAGTGCCACCATTCCCGCGTTTGTTTGTCTGTGGTGCGCAAAATGCAGAATTCACGACATAGTATTCGTATCGTTCTGGCATATGCCGCTCGTGAGGTTCTCGGAGACCGGGACGTCAAGAAGATGGGGGCTTCACTCGCTTAGTGTCGACCTTGTTGCGTGTGTGTTCTCGTGACCTTCGCACTTTAACATCTCTTGGTCGTATTTGGACAATAATTAGTTGTAGAGCCACCACGATTTCATTGTGGGTTTTACGTTTTAGCTGGTGTGCTTCGTCTTTAATCGTTTCAAATTCATCTCCTGGATCAAACAGACGATCGGATTTAACGGCTTCAGTACTGCCCATCTCGTACTTGCTGCGTATACTGATCTATACCATTAAGCACTTCAAGTTCGGCTCCAACAGAGAACTTAGTAAGCCGAACGACGGTGCTTCGTTTACCAATTTGACACACGTCGAGTTAGAATCATCGCTGTACTTCCTTCGAAGATTGTTGCTCCGTCCATTGGGTTGAAACGACCATGGCACTTGCTGTCTTTTTCACAAAGACTTAGGAAAGCGTTTCGCACTTCGTCACTTGATATTGTAGTTAGAGAGAGAGGTTTATCATAGGCTGCGTTACTATCCCTAACGTAGCCCGTCACTTCCGGAGGAGCGAGATGCATGAGTCGTTAGCGAAAACGCAGAAAGTATAACGCTGTTAATGATAATAAAGGCATTGAAGAAGGTGAACCAGAATGTGTTGCCACCAAAGCTATTACAGTGAGCAGAGTGAAAACGACAACTAAGATGAACTTGGCGGTAATATTGCTAAGTCAGTTGACATTGAGATGGACCTGGAGTCACCCCCAATAAACCACACACTGGAAGCCGTGTCTGGGCGTTGTTGCGGTGAGTCCGTTCCGTACTTAATATTCTTGAACTCAAAGTAGCGCTTAGTGCTGGAAATTTAGTTGACGACATCTGCGTCCTTCGTATCGAAGAACTTTGGCATGGTGATGCTCCCAGCTCTGTGTACGCATATCCTGTGATACTGAGTCTGTTGGTGGCTGATTTGAGGATACCTGCTGCAACGTTGCTGTTATCTGATTCTGTCGTTCTGTGATCTGCGTCATGAACTGATGTTGCTCACGCATCATGGTTGCTAGAGAGGCGAACTGCTGCACAGTGTCTGCATGCTTAATTGCTGCATCGTCCATAATTGTGCTTACGCAAACACGTTATCACTAGATGACCAAGGCGCACAAAATCCTCAGCCAAATCCATCAATGCGTAAAGCCCCCACAAAGTCACCGATGGTACAGGTGCTCCACAGGGAGACCTGCTTCCGTCGATTCCTTTGAACCCTTGCAAGTGCCAGGGTTATAATGAATACGACAGGAGCAATTCCAGTCGGCGCTAGCCCATGCCCGCTTTGAGCCACAAAGACTCCTACTGCTAGACTTAGTACGGCCACGAACGCGGATGTTAACACTCGGCTGCGCACTACTTATTTGCAAGTGATACTCGAAGCAATAGGACGGGGTGTGCGTTGTGTATGGACACGGGGGTAATGATTTGGCTGAATGTACCAATGAAATGTCGGCATACGACAATGCGTTCCTTCCCCCACTGAAAAAATGCGCCGCAGGATGGAGGCTTGCGGAGGGGATCGTAACTGCGACCGACGGGAATCTGGTTAGGGCGTGGACTAGAATTGGAGACGTCGGAGAGCGTACGCTGACGTCTACAAAAAAGTAACTGGAGTGGAAGCTGCACCCGCAAATAGTAATACTTGAACGAGTGGAGAGCCCTGGTCGCAAACGATGGACTGGGCGGAACGGGTGCTGGAACTGGAACTGTGGCTGGAAATGGAGCTGGAAATGGAGAAACATTTCGTTGGACCGTGAAGTGCTAACAAATTTAAGGGTCGCTGTTTACTTGTTGTTGAGAAGGTTTACTTGTTGTACGACTATATCGGATCTAGGCATGATTACTCAGGACCAATCAGGATCAAGTGAACAAGGTATGTAAACGGCAGCGTACATCTAGATCCGAAGATAAGCAGCTACTAGAAGGGAAGGTAGGTAGATCCAGGTAGTGGAGGATGGGACGAACCCGGATCAAAGACTTAGGAATAACATAGATTTGAATTTGCATCATTGGGCACAAGCGGTTGGTTGCTTTTTTGATCCACACTTAGTACCTCGGATCAACATATATTGACCCTACAAGATGATCCCGTATCAGGAATATTGTATTTATCGTAGTTCGGATAACTGGATAATATATTGACCAGGTCCAACTACCTAATACTTATTCTATACGTACAAGCTCCAGATCCACGGTATTTAGTGCTTGGCCGTGTCTCCATCGATCGCTCTACTACCCCCAAGATCCAGTCATAGGAAACTGCAAGCAACGCAAAGGGGTCGCAAGATCAACCCCAAGCAACCCCAAAGGAAGACCACTCACCAAGTTAACCTACACGGCAGGATCCAAGATCCGCCACTGATGCTTCACGTTTGACTACTCACGTGGACTCCAGAACTTACCTGGCAACAGAGCGAAGACGTTCCGCGCTGTTTACCATATCCCAGCGTTTCACCAGCTCATTCAAGATCTTCAACACGTGGACCTTTTTTGCGGTTACCGGAGGATCAAGATCCAGCCCTACCGACGGGTAGACAAGGTGAAGAAGTTCAGCTGATCACCGATCAGTAGGAGTACCCCCTCCTACAGTCAGTGTTCTGGGCACAGTGACAAACCGGATCCAGCACTCTCGCAGATTTTGCTGATCCCGTTTCACTACATATGCAGTTAATGACTTTACCCTCTGTACACAGACTCACCGGATAATGTCTGGTTCTGCAGATCGTTACACTGGTTGTAGATGTTGTTACATTCAACGTTGTGTACATTTTCATACCGCACTGCCTCGGACAATTTTAGCCGACAGACGAATCGCGGACAACCTTTCAAAAGAACATATAATATTCGATTATTAAAATTCAGCATTGTGTCCAACACATTACATAGGAGGACGACAGCGGCTACAGGTGATGGCCCTTGGGGGCACGATGAGGACGAGCAGCTCGAGAAGGACGAGTAGCATCTGGTGAACGAACAGCGAGAAGAGGCAGAACAGGTGGATGGAGAAAAGTACCACGAGTTGAACGAGGGTGAGCAACACGATAGGGAATTCGGCAAAAGAGGGTGATCTATTTAAGCAGGATAATGCTTATGAAATGAAGGATTAAACAAGTGCATGTGTGGAAACTCATATATCGTGTTATACATAGGTACGACTCGAGTGGATTGGTGCGTTAGCTCCATTTACGCAGTTTCGGTGTGTGTTGGGGACCTAGGAATTGCATTACAGTTCAAAACGTTTTTGGTATGATAACGTATATTGTATTACAGCCCCAGTACTGGGGTGAACTCTAATAACCATCCCTTACAGGTTAATACGTCCTGTCCGGTTCGTGATGCTTATTCCTACCGCTCTCACGAGGCTTACACCTTCTGGCCCGCCGTGGATCGCTGCATCATTCCATCTTGGCACATCTGCTCTTCTCTCATCAGACTCCACTGTGCGAAATCTGCTGGATATCTGTCCTTCACCCCCTCCATTAGTACACTATTTTCCCATATATCTGTCCTCCATCCTCTCCATTAGTACACATACTACGGCTTGAATCCATCGCATAGTTGGCTAACCAGTCCACCGTTTGATTATACTTCCTGTAGTGGTGCGTCCAGGAAGCCACGCCGCAGATGTCTGAAAACCGTCACGTTACTCGAAACCAGTGTTGCAGCGTTTTGGCTTTCGGCTACTTTCGGCGTCGCATCATTCCCAATATTAATCCACTGTCTCCAACCACGTGGACGTTCGACCATTTCTTCTCCACAGCATGTTTCAGCGCCCTATGTAGCCCGACGATTTCTGCTTCATTATTAGTGGTGGAGACGCATCCAAGCGCAGTGACCGCCGCCCACACTGGCTTCACGGTCTTCGTGCTGTCCTCGAACTCCAGAAAGAGACTTCCGCAGCCACCTGGTCCTGGGTTTCCGCGTGAGCCCCCGTCGAAAAAACCAAATCCTCGAGATCCCTTCACTATGTAGAACTTCTGTGTTCCCTATAGTTTGCCTGAGAGCAGAAATCAGCCAGTCGACAACTTCCACGTGCTCGTGAGTCGTCTTCGCGAGGGAAAACAGTCCGGATCGATACCGTCTTATTGCCTCCATGAACTGTTGTCGGGTGGCCGCCACCACTTGATCTAGCTTCAACGTTGAGTCAAACTCAAGATGGATGACGTCAATACGCCTTCGCCAGATCCTTGTCAGGACAACAACACACCCGACTCCCCACAATTCATTGACAATGTCATGAAGATGGTCCCATATCGCGGGAGGTTTGTGCTGTCCCCACTCTATGATCCAGCTCGGTAGCATATCCTCCTTCATTCCGAAGGCATGCGGTAATTTTTTTCTGTACATACATTAGCACTGAGGTCGTATCGCCACATTTCAAAAAGACACCTCCACAGAGCCTTGGCTGCTGTGCAATGCCACACCAAATGCTCGATTTTGTCGCGTCCCCTTGCATCGCAGCCTGGCTCTGGACATTGATGCCGCTTCTCCTTGCCCTCCCACACTCTTAGTTCCCGCGCTTTAAGTCGCCAAAATGTTTGAGCCTGGTAGGCAGAGATACCTTCCAAATTCTGCAGTCGCTTCCAGGTTAAGCTTTCCAGTGTCTTGGCCATTTCTGGGTTAATCTGTTGCCATTTGTTTTGAACCCGCATTATAACGGCCAGTGCTTTCTTTCTCCTCACGCTCTTAATCATGGACTGGTATCGCTTGCTGGTCTGGGGTCACCTCCGTTTACCCGTCCATAATGACCGTAACCTTGTTACCCACGGGTGCGGTGAGATCCAGACAGCTTTCTGCTCGATTTCCAAGACAGCAGCGACAGCTCCCTTCATTCCTACATCGATGTTTCCGTTGACTGTGCACCCCAAGAACTATACAGCGTCTTCGAATTTGGGCGTGGCACCTCAAAACCATGATGCTTGTCCGGTACCGTGTGATGCACGTCCAGCCAGGTGTCTGCTCGGCGTGCTGCGCCCAGCTCAGGGTACGATGCATAAACAGAGAGGCCCACATCTGCGCTTGTACTCCTGTTAACGGTAAGCTTAGTGACGTAGGCCAGAAGGTTACTACCCCGTTGTCTCCTGTGGTAATTTTCATGAGGTCAGCTAGTTTCTTTGTTCTTCCCTCAGTGACGATTTTCTGCATGCTGCTCCACTGCATAAGGTCCCCTGTTCCAGTCCATAGTTTTATTTCCCTGAGTGAGAGGTGCTGGATAGCGTCGTGGTTTGAAAATTCCGTCGCTCTCGTCTAGTTTTCCTGTATGCTTTTACTTCGACTCGCAGTATCCCTTCACATTCCATCACCAATCCAGTCTCTGTCCACCGTGTCCTTAGTCCATTACTGTGTCTTAATTTGGATCGCATTGGTCTTCCTTCTGCAGTCTCGACCTCAACATGGGTCCCTGCATCATTTAGCGCGTACGCAATCCATCAACGACCTGTGGTCCAAAGTGAATTCTCCACCTGTCGTTTTGGGTACGCGCTAAGCGGACTCGCATGCTCCACTATTCCTACGTCTCGTCTCTGGAGAATGTCTCCCGCCACTTTGGCAAATTTGTTGCGTTCCACCGTCCATTTTCCGCCCGCGTCGGCACGTAGAGCTATCAACTCTGTCGCCAAGTTGGACCCGGGTCAACGAAAGCTGAGTTCCATACGACATTTCTAATGCACCTGTCCGTCGTCTTCCACTGTTCTTCGGCAGGCCAAGCATGCCGTGCCACGTACAGTAGCTTTGGGATGACAATTGACGCGGCAATCATAGCCCTTTGTTGGGCTGTATTGGTCTTCACTTCTGCCATGGCCAATCGTTTCCGGATAGCAACTAATGCCTGCCGCCATGACTCCTCCGTCGTATCACCCGTTCCAGCGTAGTGCCCTAGGTATCTGCCACGGTTAACTTCTCTGACGTTCTTCCCTTCTTCGTGTAGGGAGTGCTCACCTCTCCCTGTACTTAGGTTGATCGCAACTGACTTCGAGACGTTTAGTCTCAGCCCTGATGCCGCTAAAAAGATCCCAACAGTTCGAAGGGCCTCTTTCTACAACTCAGCATTGGTGATGTAAGTCGCCGTATCATCTGCATAGCCCACGATTGTCAGGGTAGATGCCTCGTTCCGGTCAGCAGCTTCAGGGGGTTTGTCCTGCTGGTTCTCGAAAGTGATTCCACGTAGAATTGGATTAGACTCTATTTCATCATATAGTGAGTCTACCGCTACGATGAAGAGGAGAGGGGCGAGTGGGAATTCTTGCCTTATTCCGCTAGTCACCGTAATTGCTCGTGACAAGTCTCCATTTGCCTTGAAACGTGCTGTAGTGCCCTCGTGTATTGACCTGATGACTCGGCAGTATTTGGGCGGTATACCTTTAGCTTGCAGCACCTCCAGCATGAAGTGTCGGCTCAATGAATCGTAGGCCTTAGCAAAGTCTAGCATCAGTACCTGCGCATTCTGCATCTCGTCCGTGTCCGCAGCTTTCACCGCAACGTTGGCTGCCTCAAAGAGATCAATAGCTCCGTGGATGGTCCTCTTTGGCACAAACCCGAACTGCGTATCATGGACCATTTTCGGCAAGTAACTTCGCATTCTGCGTGCCAGTATCCGAGTGAAGATTTTGTAGTCACAATTCAGCAAAGCTATCGGTCTGTAGTTGAGAGGATTGGTCGGATCACCGCCCTTACTGATACTGAAAATATGGGATTCGAGAAAACTAGTCGGTACTTGTCCTGAGTCCATACAAGCATTGTACAATTTGGTCAGGATTGGGGTCACGCGCTCGCTGTAATCCCAGTACCAGTCGTTACCCAAGAAATCGGGTCAACATGCCTTACCTCTCTTGCACTCTATGATTGCATCTGTGACTTCTTCTTCTGTGACCGCCGCATCTAAGTATTCCCCCTTTTGACCAATTCTCTGCGTGCCTCCCGACGAGAGATTTTACGTTCTTTTGGTCGCATTGAACTCTATTCAATATATCCGTCCAGGAGTCTGCTAATATATCCGAATTTTGGTGTTCATCTCGCTGGAGGTAATTGACTGTCTGCTGCAGGGTAGGTATAACCGGATCGCTGAACTTGGTGCAGATTCTCTTGAAGAAAAACCTCGTCGGAGTGTTTGTGGTCCATCGTGATTTATATACCAAAGCTCGTCTTCTGAGTGCTCGCCTCGCCTCCTGCACTTGCCGTATCTGCGAGAGAATTCTCGTCCTCATATGAACCGGATCTGAAGCCGTGAAAGCGCACCGCTCTAACTGTTTCTTCAGTTTCCGTATTTTGTGTCTGAAACATCTGTTGGTCCTTTGCCTCGCATCTCTAGTGAGTGAATTGAGATCCTGTTTAATGCTACTTTTGAATGCTCCCCATTCACTCTGCACATGTTGCCCATTGTTCTCGTTGGTTTTATCATCAATGTCGTCGAGTCTCCTTCTGATAAAGCTACTAGCCGCAGCCCTGACAAATTCCGGGACTGGGTAGATTTTCTCTTTCTTCGAAGTCGGATTTGGCCCGAAGGGGGGTGGAGTTCGAGCAACACCGTCCTGTGGTCAGACGCACATGCCGCCTCTGCTACTGTAACGCTTCTTATGCTCCTTCTATTCTTTGATTCAATGTACTATCGATCCACGCGCGCTGTACCGACGGATCCAGTCTCTGTCAAGTATTTGTATGTATGGTGATCGTTAGCAAACTTGGCTGCGCTAGCCTCCTCCACATCAGTAAGGAGATTCGCATCAATCCATGAGTGATGATCTAGCATCCGCTGTAATTCCTTGGTACCATGATCTGCTCGCGTCTTATTGCTTTGCCGATCAGCCTTCTTCCTCAAAATGCAATTAAAATCTCGTCCGTATATAACGTTAGCGTCTCTAGGGAACGATACTTGGCATAGTTTGTGGTAAAAGGCAGCTCGTTCTGCCCCCTCGGTTGGTGCATATACATTCAGCAGTAAAAACTTCATTCCTTTTATGATGGCCGTGAGCATTATTAGATGTTCTGTCCATCGTGTTTCCTCCCATGGCTGCACCATGCTGACCATCCCGTATGAGTTGATAAGTATGGCCACGCCTGCCCTCCTGGCATTCCCCGATGACCAGAAGGACAAGTTTCTGGCAGCTGCCTTCTTGAATCCCTACATTGCAGCGTGTTGGCCTTCCGCTTCCCCGATCTCGCTCTGATATAGATGTGTTTCCTGTAAAAAGATCACATCTTTCAGTCCCCTATCATGTTACTCCTTGAATTCTTGTAAGTAGCTCCCAAGTTTCCGTACGTGGGTTGCCAAACTCCTCACATTGGCTGTCAGCATTCCTATCGTTTCATCGTCGCGATGCTGTCGCCGTAAGTCAGGTCTCCGTTTCTTACTTTCACTCTTCCTCCTTCTCTCCACCGTGCGCCTCAGCGCCCTAACATCGTTTTGTGTGCTCCTGATATATTCTTTGTGTGATATTTTCTTGTAAAACAGCAGCATACGAGCTTGTGTAGTATCTTGTTGTCTTTGCCTCCTCTCCGCGGTCTGTGTTATATGTAGAGTACCCACCATACTATTGATAATTGCTCTCCATCTCACGTCCTCTTTTCGTCACTGTACTCCCCGCCACGGCCCTTGGAGTAGAATCCATTGTAGAGGCCACACGTAGGGAAGAATCTCCGTCTTCCTTATACCCCTCCTTCGGTTGTACCTCTTGCTGCTGTGGAAACAAATGATGTTGAGGATCACGTCCGCCGCCATCGTTAACGTCGGCATTCTCCATTTTTCGTCTCGATTGTTTTGCTGCTTTTCGTAGTGACTTTGGTGCTCTAGCCGCTGCTCGTGTTGTCTTGATGCGATCATACGGCTGGGCGTCCAACTTGTTGCAGCCATGTTTGGCTAACATATCATTCCGTGTTGCAGCGTATCCTTCGTAATGCAACAAGTACTCAGTATGGCACTCCGCGTCGTATGTCACAGCCTGGAAGTGGTTTCCTGATGCTGTCCACCTTAGAATCAGAGCCAGAGGCAAGGTCCCTACACCCACGAGGTCTTGAAGTAAGCACATTGCCGTTGGAGTTGGGAGTAACTTTTGAGTTCCGGTTTCTATGAATTCTTCATTCTTCAGTTCCATGTCCTTGTAAGCACACATTGGCGCTCTGGCTCCGCCATCGCTTTGTACATCAAGTACATATATTGCTTCACGAGCATGCATGGACATAGTCTTGAGCTACGTGGGGTTGTACTAGCAATCTACTGGCACAGACCTCTGCATTGATCCCTCCCTCAGCGACGCGTAGAACTCTGCAAAGGCCCAGATTTTCTCTTCCCTTGTGCTGTCGTGGGATAACTTAATTTCTGCTGAGTGCAGCTCCGCATCCACCTCATGTGGCATTAATTGACACTCATCTGCCAGGTTGGTCAACATGCCATTAATGTCTTCTCTCTTTAGTGTCGTGGCTGCCACAGCGACTTCTTGGGTAGGTTCCAGTTGGCCCGTGCCTGCGTTTACCAAGGCAGCATAGAACGATAGCCACCCGCAGTGCCCAGTTCCAGTTACGTCCGTCATAGTCCCTCCCAGAATGGCTAACCAAGTCTCCAGAGGAACACCAAAATCAGTTGGTGCTGTGCCACCAGTAATCTCATAGTCATCGGGAGCGGTAGATGTCTCATATCCATGTTCTTTGTCCAACTCTCCTATTGTCCTGTTGCTTTAACAACTCCTGTGATGGGGCTTACCGGTGATTCCTCTTTCCCGTCCGCCTTAATCTCCCTCTTGTCCTCCGAGATAGCACATGAGGAAGCGTAAAATTGGTGCATGAACTTCTGTCTCGCCTGTTTTCCTGCCCCTCCCGCTTCCGTGGCGGGTGATGTCGGTTGTGGGGCCCTGCTTCCATCAATTCTCATACCCGCGTCTGTAGCAGACGTGCGCACTTCTGGCTTGTCATTCCTGGCTTGCTTTCGTAAATTTTGTGCACTGCGCGAGGGTGATTTGGATCCTCCTGAGAGTTCCCTTGCCACTGCCTTTACAATATTTCCCTGTAAGAGCTGAGTCCAATTGGGGCCTTCGTCTGCATTTTGCAACTGGAACAAACCAATTTCCTTGTCGGGGATCGACCTCTGAAGTCCATCGGCTCTTGTTTTGCCTCCATAACACTGAACGTTGCACAAACTCCGCGATGTGCCTGCCCATACCGAACATCGATATTGTCCATTGGCATTTTTAATTCCATGGCTTCTTCAGCATGTTCCCTGAAAACACCATCCAGGTGTTGTCCTGGATGCTCGTTCTTGTACATGGGGTCATCTTGGTCCTCGACACTCCATGATCCGTGATACCGCTGTAAAGTTACGTTCACATCTCTGTCCGAATCGGCAGTCGCATTGTTCTCCTCCCATTGGTCAGGTCGCGGTTGCTGCTGTTGTCTCTCTGCACGTAGTTGCAATCCTCTCCGCTTCTGTTGAATACACTCCTGTGCAAGAATTGTTTTTCTGTGTCTTGCTGTTGCTTCGATGCGAATGCAGCAGGAAGAGACGAGCTGTTGTTCTTTCGTTCCCTGCTCTTGCACTCTAACTTCGAGTTTTTTCAAGAACTTCCTTAGTTCGTCGAGGGTTGTCGGGTGTTTCCCCCATTATAGGCGCGGTTGGGTTGACCGTTTAGAGATGGAAGTGTCCCCTTCACCTTTAGCACGTGAGATTTCTTTGCAGATTCAACTTCCGCCGTGGTCAGCTTACAGTATTTATTAGGGTGTTCCGGCGAACAACATCACACACAAGTCTAGTTAACATAGACTTCACGATGGTGTAGAACGACTTCCATGTCACCAACCACGATGAATTCTTTGTTCTTTAGCTGCTCCGGACATTTGTTCTGTTTCATGTGCGCTACTCATTGCTTATTGTTCATTCCACGCTCCTTATCAAAGCTGTGGTTGAGTGTTTGCACGTGCAGGCCTAAGCTATCAGTGAGCAAACAATACATATATCTGGAGGAGAAGGGTCCCTTTCTTGCTGCGAGCGTGAGAGAGTAATAGTCGAGCTTGACCACCTCATACGTCTCCCGTGCCTTGTCTTTTTGTGCTTCATAGTCGACTAAGGTAAGGAGCCTATTGGCAATGGGCATTTTCCAATTAACCCACCGCTTGGCCTCTAATTTCTCTTTAAATGTGATTGTTATCACCCTCGTGTCCTTTCCAACGGTGATCCAGGAAATTGTCCTCTTGAAGATGTCCGTTTCTAGCTTCTGTGCCACTGTTGCTTCTTCACCTACTGCAATTTGCGCCAATATAGCTGCCTTGGAGACATTCTCGGGGGCTCTCTGACCGGGGCCAAATGTGCATATAGTGGGTATTCGATGGCGAGCATCATATCCGTGAAGCATGCCAATTCATACGCGTCCATCGATTAGCCCAAGAATAACGGAGTGAAAGGGACTTCTATCTCTTGGTTTAGTATTAATCGAATTGCTTCGTCTTCATCCGCTGTACGGTCGCGAAGTTGCGTTAAGGCTGGCATCGGTGTCATACATAGCAGGAGTAGACGCTCATGCTCCACGGAGTGCTGTATCGGGGCGTCAGTCGTTAGTCCCTTCACGACAGCACCTCTATACGAAACAATTGAAGCGTCATTTTCCCAGTCGTCATCCTGACCGCTTGAAAGGTCCTCATCAAAGTGCATGAATTGCAGTCTTGTCTCCATTTCCTGCTGGGTCAAACGTTTCGCCACAATCCACTCCGTTAGCAAACTACATAGTCGTTGCCCGTGCTCCTCGTTAG